GCCTGACTGTTGGATTTGAGTGAGTGTTTGACCAGCCTAATAATATTGCCAAGTTTTTTGAGGCTGTTGTGGAGTTGAATAGCTTTGGGTGAGAAGATATGATGGAAGTTTTTAGCTGTAAATTGTTTATTTGGAATATGTTTTAATGCTGCGGTTATAATGCTAGTTTGGATCTTATGCCAGGTAGTCTGCAGAGTTTTAGGGGTAGATATAGACATAGGTGTGTTATGTATATGTAGGTTGGCCTTGACTTTATTTGTGAAGTTCTCCCACTTCTCCCTAACCCAGAAAATACCAGTACCAACATGACTTTACCGACTATCCCAACGACATCGATGAGATAATCCAAACTCTATCCAAGCAGGAAGTCATAGTCTCACTTCCAATCCAAAAACAGCAGGATGTTATCCTAACAATGAAAATCCTCAGACAACACTTTAAGATCCAAACAATTCCAGATACCCTCCTACAACTCCTACCACTACCTACTCCTAAATGGAACATTTTTGACAATATCCATGCACAAACCCCACCTCTGTCTCCTAGTACTGTTCAAAGCTTTGCACTTGCCCCAGAAACAGACTGAACTGACAACAACTCACAATCCAAAACAGAAAGCCACCCCATAGCAATAAGCACCCAACCCATAGTAGCTCCTACATCTACACCCAATCTAGTATATACACCTCCAGAGAACAACCCAACAGACACAAATGAACACTCCAATGAGTAATCTACCACATCTATACCCCCTTACACTCTCAATTGGCACACACAATGTACAAGGTTTTAACACAAACACAAAAAGGGAAACATGGGAACATTACTGTCTACAACACAACCTCGACATAATTGGCTTAACAGAAACTAAACTCTCTCAAGAAACAGTCCACAGAAAGCGGTACAACACACAACACTATACTTATCTATGGTCATATACAGAAAGCTCTCGTGCCGGAACAGCTATAATGATCCGCAACCATCTAGCACCTCATATTCACAAAGTATTAACAGTGCCAGGCTATGCCATAGCAATTGACCTCTTTTTTAAAAATGACTTCAAGTTCCGTATAATATCTCTTTACCTGCCAAGTAGTGATGCACAACTCAGACTACAGACACAAAATACCATTATCCAATGGCTCCAGCAGGCGACCACACAAAGCACTTTACCAATCACACTTGGAGACTTCAATGCCTCTACAGA